GGGGGTGATTTACTAACCTAAACACACACACACACCAGGTGTGTGTGATTTTCACACAGCAAAACGTATTTATCAACCAAAAAGTCTCTAAAAGCATATTTCCACTAATGCCATATATGGAAAAATCATGCACATGATGCATATATAATGCTGCTTCACAGTTTAGACAAAAATGGTTAGCTCATGCATTTACATTCCTGCATTCATCAACGCAAGCAACATAACATAGAGCTAATTTACACCACATTACCTTGCAATTCATTGCAGGGCTTTGCACAACACACCTGCTGGGTGTGTACACACTACAAAGGTGTTTAGATTCCTCCCATAGATCATGCTGGGAGGGAACACACTACAGAGGTGTATACACGTTCGTGGTGTGTTTAAAAGGTTAGTAAATCAACCCCCATGTCTCTTCTGTGCTCTTGCCGTTGAAACGTGTGGATCAAAATAGGCTGTTTAAAGGTTTGAAGAGCTGCAGAGAGCTAAATAACTTGAGGAAGGGTGTTAGTGAGATAGAGGAACGATTTTGAGAAGTTCTCACAGCCACAATGTTCAGAGATGACTATAGAGAAGATGCAAAGTTTGTATAAAGAAGGTAAAAGGAGTTACATTTAGGAGGAGGACTAGAAATTTGTAAAAATATAAGTTGAGGAACAAGACTGGAGGGAACTTGAATGTCAGAACTTTCTGCGATTTGCGTGCCAGTGAAGGAGCTGATGGTGAGAAGAAGCACTAGAAGAGTAAATAAAAGGGTTGCGCCCATTTATTGGTAAGACACGGAGAGACGATACCATAGACAAACTGACATACAGCTCATTAATAAAGCATCAAGTTCTATTTGTTACATTACCTGCTATTGTTCAAAGTGACCTTCTCTTTCACAACTCTTGCCACATATGAACATGTCTTCTCTTTCCTTCTGGAGATCACTTATCTCATCTTTATTTCTGTCTATACTTCTTCCGTAGGTCTGATATATCTGAAGCATTTCGGGAAGTTACGCCTCACAAAAAGACAAAAAAAAAAGCAGAAGTTGAACTTGTTAAGAGAGTTTTAGTCATTCAGTCAAATTTTGGAGATGTTACATTCTACAGAAAAAAAAACCAAGCAAAAGCTTGATAGGTAGAGAAAGTTTAGAGGTTAATTCCTCACGTCCGGTCCACAAGATGTCCTCACTTAATCATAACAATGTCAATTGTTCACGTTGCTTGATGCTTACTGAGTCTTATAGTATAATCACTTTTTGATTGTTTTTGATACTTGTAATTAAAAATATCTTACTGAGAAACAGCTGTGTGATTGCCATGTAAAGTACTTCTGCTTTTTAAGCTTACGCCTACAATTCAAATACATATTAAAAATAGCAGAAGAACAAGCTAGATTTTAAGTGGGTGAGGCAATGTCAATACACAGACAAATCATTCATTGCTAGGGAAGGGACAGGTTGCTCATCCCTCTAGCTCCAGTTGCTTAATTCTCAGATTTGTGTTTCTATTCATCTAGTACTGAGATTTACACAGCTCCGCCACACAGCAGAGCCTTGTCTGGCTGAGCAGAAGACCCGAAATTTCTCTTCTGCCATTCAGTAACACTTACAGGTCTCATCCCTCCCCCAGCCTGTTACTGGACAGTGAAATGAGAAGTAACACTATGATGACCAATGGTAGAGCTGCTACTTCTCATTCCACTGTCTAGTAAGAGGCTGGGGGAGGGACAAGACCTGTAAGTGGTACCTTCACACTCGAGAACCAAATCAATTTTGGATCTAGCATCCAGCAGGATCCAAAATTGATTTGGTTCTTGAGTGTGAAGGTACCTGCAGACAGCATAACAAATGGCCTGGAAAAAATGCAAAACAAAGGCCATGCCCACACAGCCTTCACGTCTCTCAAATTTCTCAAGAACACCCTTTAATTTAAAGTGTATTTTAGAGTTGAGTAATCCCACCTACACGTTTGTTCTGTGTTCCCATTCACAGAACATACTTAAAGATAATTAAAACAAAATATATTTCTTACCTTTTCTAGTTGTTTTTTTGGAGCAGATCTACAAATAATAAAAATAATAATAACAAAAATAATAATAATAAAAATAATAATGATAAGAATAATAAAAAAAAACAATAATGTTATTAGCATTAAAAAAAATAATAAAAAAAAACAATAATGTTATTAGTATTATTATTATTATTATTATTATACAGGATTTATATAGGGCCAACAGATTGTGCAGCGCTTTACAATATAAGTAAGACATTAGAGTTACAATACAATTCAAGTCAAAATGGTTAGGAAGGCAATGTCCATGAGAGCTTGCAATGTAAAATGGAGGGGCAAGTGATATAAAAGATGGTAGCCGTGTGCGAATGAGTTGTTGGAGATGATAATAGTTTAGCGGTTAGGTAGAGGTGGCAAAATCTTCCCTGAAAAGATGAGTTTTCAGAGATTACATAAAGGCAGACAGAGTGGGAGACAGATTTTGAACCACAATCTCCATTCATTGTACATTGGGAAAAAAACTGATGATCTTTCTAAAGCAATGTATTAGGACTGCAATGTATTAGGACTGCAATAATCATGTGCAGCAGAAGCACAGCATGACTGAGAGGCTTTTTGACTTTTTTTTGTAAACGTAGCACCGACACCACCACTGTGCTGCACATTGCATGTGCAGAGAGAAGAGCTGTGGGAGGGGCCCAGCAGGACGCACCCACTACAGCCTGCCGGCAGAAAACTACAGGAGGGGCAGAGACAAGACCAGTCACCCTGCACAAGAAGAGAAAGCAGTAGTGACCGGTCTGTATCACAGGAAGCTCCTGCACTGAGGCACAGGCGTCCTGAGGCTGGGTGTCCCCTGCAGCGGAGACCAGGTGACACCCCGCCGTGACATTATCACGCATGCGCGTGAAATTGCCACGTGCGTGCACAATGACGTCATCGCACGAGTGCGGTTATCTTGGTGATGGATGCAGGCAGAGAGAAGGGGACGTGGTATGCAGCCGGGTTCCCTCCTCTCTCCTGACTCTGTCGGGCTCTCGACCCGTGACCGAGTGCCCGACTTTTCAGAGGGGGTGACACCAAAATGACTGTCAGTCATTTTGGTGTCACCCCTCCAATGGTGGCATTCGGGTGCACGCCGCACCTCCCTTGTGACGCCACTGCACAGAGGCAATGTGCAGGACCTGCTATATGCTGGATCTGGAAGCAACACGTAAAAGACACCCAGATTAAAGTAAGAATGCACATGCCTCTTGTATATAGAAAATATTTGTTTAGCCTAGGGTCCAGTTAAGTGGACCTTCAATGAAAAATCTGCCAATCCCCTGCTGGCCAAACGAAATTAAATGCAAAGAAACTTTAAAAATAAAGATGTTACAAAAAAGATTAAAAAAACTTTGTTCCTAAATTCCGATGCTTCCTGGAGGTGTAGTTAACCTCACTGCAGTTCCCCGTTGCCTCCTGGGATACGGGGGGCACTTGAAATCTCACAAGTATGCACCACGGTCCATTGCAGGTGTGCATTCTTGTGGAATTTTGAGTGCCATAGGTACTAAGGTGGCGCTTCTTTTTTTTATTCTCAATACTTTTCTCCTGCACATACTTCTGTTATACCTTCGTAGTTAATGCACTGCTCATTATCATACTCTCCACAGTCCTCTTCTGCAAATGCTGCCTACTGTTATACCCTATGCAATCCTCTCCTGCAATCCAAGATGATCGGATTAACAGACATAATTTAAGGTAAGTCCTCACATTAGCATTGTGGGGTGGGGGGCTAAACTTTTGACTTTGTTTGTTATGCGTGAACCATTGGGGACATTTCCATTCACTGTCTGTCCCGGAGGTGTAACTGGAATTTAGAAGAAATCTCACAAATTAAGGGAGATTCCCATCTTAGGCATTTGTCCTTACCTCCTGTTCTGCAGACAAAAATGTTGCACTTCCCCACTTGTTCAAGATGACAATGGTCACTGGTACAAATAGAGAGGTGAATCTCCCCAGTGGGGACACAGACAGCAAAAGAAAACTTGATAGAAAGTCCAACTTATCCCTACTCTATCCAAAATTGAAAGAAAAGGCTTTGCCTACACTTAAACAAAAAGGTGAAAGTAAGATAGCATAGATTTGTATTAAAAAAAACTTCAGTGCAACAGTTTAGTTATATTTTATTATATATTTTATATTATAAACATAAACAGTTAAAGTAACAAACAAACTACAGTATATTATAACTTATAAACTATATAATAACTTAAACTATATTATAAACTTAAAACAGTTATTGTTTATATAAAAAAACATTGAAAAAAAATGATTTGATAAATGTTGATATTAAAATACAGGGGTGAGGTTGGTACAGGTCCGGCCCAAGGCAGAATTGTCAACTCAAAAGGAAGTTAGGAGCTCAATGGATTTCTAATAGGATTAAAAAAGTATTTTTTTGTACTTGTTTTTTTGCAGAGATATAACACAGGGAGTTGTTCATGTATTGAAGGGATGTACTCAATATGTGTTTGTATTTGTTAGATTTGCAGACGTACACTTTAAGCGGCAGTAGAGAAAGAGAATCCAAGCAAATACAGAATATAAAATCTGCATTGTACAGCAACGTCATTAAATCAGCATGGGCTTGCTCTTATGTTTTATTTGCCCTGTACACAAATTAAGACCTTTGTTTTCTGAATTCCACCAATTTGCCGGTCCTGTAACATGGGACTGGAATTATGGTTGTATACAGTATTCCTGTCCATATATATTCCAGAAAGGACAGTCCAGTGTTCTGTGTCATTAGGCATTTGCATTTCTTTCACGTTGGCTTTAATTTAAAAAATACAGCAAATTCTCAGTTTTTACGTTTAACCGCAGCATACTCAATTTCCTCTATTTCTGCAGCACCCTGTGGTTTCAGCTTTGAAAAGTCAACACTCATGTATCATGTGTGTGTGTCTTGGCAATTCAGATGTACTGTTTCAGTTTCAGGAGGTGATTGGTCGTCTCTTTGAGGAATTGGCCCAACTTCATGGGGACCCTAGAAGAGAGTCAAAAATGTTAAACTGTATAGTTTAAAGACTTATCTATATATATATAGTGACTTGCCAGCAGCAATAATGTTCTGAAATTGAAGGGTATGTATGAGTTTTTGATTACCAACATTTTCTGTGAAATAAAAGGAAATTGAAATGCATCAAAGTCAATGGGGAAGGCCAATGTAGGTGGTTTTTAGGGGAGCATTATGCTATAAATGGAACCTCTCTACAACTCTCCTGGACTTGTTTGTTTTGCCAAAAATGTATCCCTCATTAGCCTTATTATTTAAATATTTTTCTACAGAAAGTAGAAAAACAAAGAAAGGAAAAGGCACACATACAATAAACTAAAGTATCCTAAATAAAACCCTCAACAAGAAAAAAAAAAAAAATCACAAAAAAGTGAAATAATAAGAAAGTATTATTTTAATGAAAGACCAATGTAAGCTTTGAATAGATACCCCGAAATTTGTACCCCGAAAAACGTAAGCAGAGGACAAAGGACCAGTCACCTTGCTCCCATTACTGACTTAACCATGCCTTGTAATGCAATGTGTCTCCAAGTGGAGTTGGAAATCTTGGTAGAAGCAGGACTTTCTTCCTCATGTCAGAGCATCCAGCAAGGAGAACAGTGAGCAGCACAGAAGTGATGCCCCCAAATCTCACTCTAGATCTCCTGAGACTAGAAGTCAGAGGCAGCAGTGCCTTAGCTCTCAATACAATATAACAGAAAACATTTGATTGGATAACTCACATTAGGAAACATTTCTGAATTGCCATAGATAGGATCAGCAACATTGACATGGTTCTGCCTTGAATTTTCATTCATTTGCATCATCTTTCTTCTGAGAAAAAAAGAAAAGTAAGTGCAAATAAAGGTTGAATAATTGTGGACATAGAGTACCAATACTGTAGGTTCTATTCATATATTACTGGAAAGTATAAAGCAAAGAGCAAAGCTCAGTAGCCCAATAAGAATTGATCACTCTACTTATTTGGATGTTATTAAATGAAATCTGTGTGGCTGTTCAAAACACTTATCAAAATTGTGAAGAAAATAATGTACATCTGAAATGCTGAACCCCGGGCAACCAATAAGAATCCATCTTGGACCTGACTTGCACACAATTTAGAATAATACCTATTTTATATTTGTTACATAGTTACATGATTAGTTGGGTTAAGAAAATACATAAGTCCACTTATAAAATTATTTTATTATAACATTTTATAAAATTTGTAATTAAAAATTGTTAATATCTAGTAATATTGTGTGTATTTAGAAATGCAACTAGATTTTTTTTTAAAACAGTTAACTGAGCTAGTAGAAATATCTTCTAGGAAAGTCTATTCCAAGTTTTCACAGCTCTTGAAGCCTTCCCAGACACAAAGAGTGTTTTTTTATGCAATGACCTAAAGGTAAATAATTTTGCACAAAGCTCACTATATGGATCATTTATGTATTTATACATGTCCCCCCTTAACTGCTTCCTCTCCAGAGAGAACAAATTCAGGTCAGTTAATCTTTCCTCATAGCTGAGCTCCTCCATGCCTCTTATGAGTTTAGTTGCCCTTTGCTGCACCTTCTCCAGTTCCACAACATACTTTTTATGAACTATTGACCAAAACTGAACTGTATATTTCAGATGAGGTTTTACAAATGCGTTCTACTGGCGCAGATTATGTCTCTGTCTCTTCGGTCTAGATCTGTTTTAACGCAAGAAAGTTTTCTGCTTTTTTGAGATGCTGCAGCATGACATTGCATGCTATTTTTGAGTCTGGTATACCAAAACACCCAAATCCTTCTCTGTTATTGACTCCTACAATTGTACTGCCACTAGAAAGTATGAAGCATGCATGTTTTAGTACCCAAGTGCAGAACTTTACATTTATCAACTTTATTAGCAAAATAGATGCACAATCAAACAGTGCATTCAGGTCCACTTGCACATTTGAAACATCTTGTAAGGACTGTATTCCACTACATAGCTTGGAAACACAAAAATTGTACTTTTAATCCCCAACTCTATATCATTTATAAAAAAGGTTAAACAGTAAGGGGCCTAACACTGAACCTTAGGGTACACCGCTAACAACACTGAACCTTGGGGGACACCGCTAACAACACTGAACCTTGGGGTACACCGCTAACAACACTGAACCTTGGGGTATACCACTAACAACCTCAGACGATTCATAGAATCAATCATTGATCACCACTCTCTGAATACAGATTTTAAGACAGTTTTCTATGCAATTACAGACTCAATTCTCTATATCTACAGACCTTAACTTATACATTAGCCAACTGTGGGGAACTCTGTTTAATACATTTGCACTGTTGCTTTACCCAGACCTCAAATCCAGTCTGGAAAAGTCTAGGAAGAGAGCTTAAATTGCACCTGTTGACTTGCCAGCAATATCAGTTTCTCCCTTTTTAAAAATATTTACCCAATATCTGGGTTGCATATTGAAGAGCCACACTCCACTTAATGGTCCGGATAGATTTTTATTCAATAAAGGGTTGAGGGGACAGTACAGAAACATTCAATGTGTTTTGAGGGATCATATAAATACTCCCTTCAACAGGGCTTACTAAGGGAGAACCTGTATGAGGTCAGTAATGGCTTAAAATTGGATACTGTTTTGTCTAGTGTGTGAGAATGCATAGAGCTCCTCATCAGTGTGTGAGAATATAGAGCTCCTCATCAGCTGATTTGGCATCCCTACCCAAAGTCCAGCATTGGTCACATCAATTACTGCATCACCACACACATTTTTTAGGTGTGTAAGAATCTCAATAGTCGGCCAATGCTCAGAAACTCAATTACAGCTCTTTGTTTTAACTAGGGATGCACCAATACAAAGTACCGTACTCGGTACAAGTACAAGTACAGATACTTTTCCAGCTCCAAGACTAGACTAGAGAAAAAATAAAAAATTAGGAGGCAGCTGCCATTTGTAAGGAGCACACGGAGCTCCTATGCTGACTCCTAACTTTTGAATTTTTCTCTTGTCTAGTCTTGGAGCTGGAAAAGTATCTGTACTTGTACCGAGTACAGTACTTGGTATCTGTGCAACCCTAACAAATACTGATACTTGTCCAAGTACTCACAGATACAAGTACTGATACATTTTTGTTTATTGTCATGTGACAGTTTTTCTAAAACAATATACAGACTAATGGTTTCAGGACAGTGGTAGGACACCAGAGCCCGGTCCCAGCTGCAACCGCTGCAACCCTGGTAGTTCTCATGAAAATGCCAAGTATCAGCACTGAAAAGTATCGATGCATCCCTAGTTTTAACCTCATTGATCTATGATTCACTTGGTGGAATTTAAAAAACAGAAGCACACAATGATTGAGTTAGACCATATCTGTATCGACAGACATGTTTAAACCAACTCATACCTAAATTTGTGACTTCTGTGGCTTATAGCACGTACGTCAATGGTAAAAAAAATACTTACTTTTTGTAGAACAAGATTAATAAAATTCCAATCACTATCAATATAGCAGCAAAACATCCACCACATATTGCAGCTGCCGGAAATGATTTAGACATCAACTGGGCTGAGGGCAAAAAAAAAAAAGAAGTTATCAACAGTCAATATTGTTGGACAACAAAATATATGATGGGGGAAAGGTGTCTATTGTTAACTTTCATGGTTGTAATGTGGATGTTATAAAATACATAAAACTGGTTTGGCCATCTGAGGTGCAAAAGGGGAGGCAAAGTCCAGCAATTACAGGGTATTAGATTTTTACCTTAAATGGTCATTTAACCCTTTGTTTTTGTTTTTTGCATATATCTACTGCTGGAAAGCAGTACACTACAGAGGCCCCTCCCCATTCAGAAAAGGCTCATAGTAAATATGAATGGGAAGCCTCTGTATTGAGTGCTTCCCATTTATTGAGTGCTGAGGCTGCTGAAAAAGAAATTGAGGATTTGGTGTCCTCAATTTCTTTTCTACCTCCCTCACACACACACGTATTATTAGACATGTGCGAAAACTAAAAATTAATTTCAGATGAAATGAACGAAAATGAAAAAAAAATTCATTTGTTTCATTAAACAAAACCTATTTTTATGCTATTTCTATTTTGGATTCAGCCATTGGCATGTTCTGGAGGCAGGGTGCGTGACGTCATATAACACTGCATGTGTTGGGCGCCGCCATTTTGGTGTATATCTAGGTATACACCAAGATGGTGGGGCCAATATCGGCGTGTGACGTCACCTGACGCCAGGCATGCATGGCATCATGTAACGTCATGCTCCCTGCCTCCAAGATGGTGGCACGCATTCATAGAACACGCCGGTGGCCAATATGGCCGCCGCACAGTCTCAAACAAATCACTATGCGCCTCCATATATTTTTCGTATATTCGGACAAATAGTAATTCATTATTTACATGTAGCCCGGGTCTGTGTTTTCTATTTTTACTTTTCTAGATGCACTTACTTGAAGAAAGGGCTCGGCAAGACATCCTGACACTTTATTTTTATAGACTCTATTTTAGTTTGACATTTATTGTTTACCTTCTGTTGTTTTATTTGATAAGAATACTTTTATTGTGCCTACAAGTTTAATACATTTCAATAAAAGTTTTATTTTTATCATACTTTTTAATATGTTTCTTTGTGGCTTAACAACATTGGAGTCTTTAAATGGTGCGGATATTGGGGAAATGGGTTTGGTTACTGGGGGTGTGGTCACTAAAGGGTTTGGTCACTGAGGGGCGCTGTAAAGCTTTCTCGCACAGGGCGCCTAAAGGCCTAAGGCCGGCCCTGCTCCCGAATGCTATTTAATGGCATTAGGGTCTGTGAGCCAAAGGGGTTGATTTACTAACCTTATAAACACACCACGAACATGTATACACCTCTGTAGTGTGTTCCCTCCCAGCATGATCTATGGGTGGAATCTAAACAACTTTGTAGTGTGTACACACCCAGCAGGTGTGTTGTGCAAAGCCAAGCATGAATTGCAAGGTGATGTTGTGTAAATTAGCTCTATGTTGTGTTGCTTGCGTTGATGAATGCAGGAATGTAAATGCATGAGCTAACCATTTTTGTCTAAACTGTGAAGCAGCATTATATATGCATCATGTGCATGATTTTTCCATATATGGCATTAGTGGAAATATGCTTTTGGAGACTTTTTGGTTGATAAATACGTTTTGCTGTGTGAAAATCACGACCACCTGGTGCGTGCGTTTGTTTAGGTTAGTAAATCACCCCCAAAGTGTCATAATACTTTTCATATGACACCTACTTTAGCCTGATAAATCTGGTTTCAGGATGACAAGACGACTTACATTCAACTTTTATAGTGATTTGTTGTGCAGTGGTCAATCCCTCTTTCACCTGTACAATGCATGACACTGTAGAGTTGTTCTGTTCCTTCCTCGCAGTGAAGGTGATGGTAGAGAAGTGGGTCTTTGTGCCATTTTCATGATTTGTAATCCAGTTTTCCACTTTTTCATTCTGGATATTTCCTTCCCAAGTGATTTGGGGGTTTATCTTCTTACATCTTCCGGGAGCTGTGCAGGTCAGTATCACCTCCTCCCCATCAAGCCAGCTCTTTTTTGGGGAGATCTCAGGTTTATCTATTAGATCTGCAAGGATAACACACAGAAAACTCCTTGAATGTTAACAATGATAAAATGCTGACACAGAGGGGACATTTATTAAGCAAATTAGTGACACAATTACCAGGCCGCCTCCCCTTCAGAAAAGTCTCTGCAACAGATTTACACCCCCGTGTGCCTGTATTTCTGGGCAGCCAAGTGTTACAGTTTGAACTTTAAAGTGTATTTCCACTTTTGCAGCAAAAATGGGATAATGCCCATTTTATGTGTTATATTTTCCCATTCACAGAGCATAAGCTTAAAAAAAATGCTGTTTAAATTGCTTTTGCTTGGATTAGAGTTTATTGACTTCTTCAGGGTTAACATTTCTACTTGCTTTTCCTTCTATTGTAATAGGAGGGATTTAGGGGCTTCTCCATTGTTTGATAATGGAGTTAATGAGAGAAACACAATCCTTAAATTTCAGTCCTATGTCTTTTCAGCACTCATAAAAAAAAGACTCTATTGCAGAACTTCAGGCAAATCTACTATCCAGGCCTTTAGGGCGTGCTAGATAGGGTGTCCCCTGCTGCCCATTGTGGCTCCTCCTGCAAGCCTCCATTGCACTACAGGACACAGAGGATGGTGGGAGGAACCACAGTGAGCAGTTGGGGAGGGGGGCATTTTTTATTCTGTTACTTTTGTCACAGCGACAGTGTCACTTTTATTTCTCACTCTTTGAAGTTGAATACATATAGAACCACAGGAAGTCTGCTAACTGGCTGCACAGAAAGCAATCAATTTTACAGGGACTTGGTTCGAACCACATACTGCTTGAAAGATGTTTTAGCAATAGGAAGCCAGACATACAATCCACCAATACTCACCAATCCACAGATGAGATATAAGGGCACCGGTGATAACTACTTCTTTTTAATTTCATATTGGAAAGCGTTAGACAGTCCAGAGTTCCTACAGTACAAAAAGAAAATGTAAATGCCAAGTGATGACTTCAAATAGGTTTAGAACCCCTGTCGGGTTTGTTTGTCCCTGCTATGGAAATGTTCCACTTAATATCTTTCTCAGTAAAAACAGTCATCTTTGATCATAAGGATAGATCTCCATAGTGGGGACACAAAAAGAGATTCTAACCCTCCAAACTCTACTTAAAATGTGCTTTTCTTGTTGTCTTTGAGCCTATTGGAGAGATTCTACTCACCTTCTCTCATGGAGACCATATGAGAAATGACGGAACATTTCTATTGCAACAAGTGCAAATATGGAAAAAAAGAAACATGTGTCTCTTCTGAAACGCTTGTCATTAAAATGTGTGGAATAAAAAGAGGCTCCTTAAGGCTGGGTTCACACCTGGGCGTTCCTAATAGGCGCGTTTTATGCACGTTTTTGAACTTGCGCTTGAAGCACATTCTTCTGTCCAATTAAACGCATGTTCGACGCGCGTTTTTATACCTCCCTGGCGGTATGATTTTTTGTTTCTATTTTTCCTTTTTTTCTCTGTTTTTTTTTTTTACTTTTAAACTTCCCACCAGTTCCACCCCCCTGCGACGCCGACGCTCGCAAGGGACGGAATCCAGAAGACGGATGCCGGCAGTGGCCGGAGGACACAGCGGGGATCGCGGACAAGGTAAGACCTACGCTGTATTCCCGAGTGTGGCTCGGGGTTACCGTTTGGTACAGAAATTAAACCCCCGAGCCACACTCAGGAATACCAATGGATACACGCTGAAATCTGCCCCTATGTGCGAAAAAGAAGCTCAAGTACTTTTTCGCGTGTAGGGCGTTTTTCAGCGCGACAAATCACGCTGAAATACGCCCAGGTGGGAACCATGCCCATAGGGATTAATAGGATTTCACTTCTTGAGCGTTTTTCAGCGCTTCGATTAGCGCTGAAAAACGCCCAGGTGTGAACCCAGCCTAAAGGTTTGAAGAGCTGCAGAGAGCTAAATGGCATGAGGAAGGGGATTTATGAGAAAGGGAAACAATGTGAGAAGTTCTGACAGCCACAGTGTTCAGAGATGACTACAGTAAAAGATGTGAACATTGTAGAAAAAGTTACATTTAGAAGGATTGCAAGAAATGAATGAAATACAGTAAACTCTCAGTTATCCGGTATTCAACTAACCATAAAAAAAATCCCCTGTGTACTCATTGTTTTGCTGATCTGCGGCATGTATTATGCTGGAAATGTTTGTTTGTCTATCTGTCTTAAGCGTGTCTATTTGTCTGAATTTGCTTTTGATTACAGCATTTCAATATTAATATTAGGGATGCACAGATACTTTTCGAGTACCAGTGCAGATACTTGGCATTTTCATGAGAACTACCAGGGTTGCAGCGGTTGCAGCTGGGACCGGGCTCTGGCGCTCCACCACTGTCCTGAAATCATTAGTCTGTATTGTTTTAGAAAAACGGTCACATGACAATAAACAAAAATGTATCAGTACTCGTACTTGTAAGTACTCGGCAAGTATCAGTACTCGTACTCGCAAAACTGGTATCTGTGCATCCCTTTATTTATATTTATAAAAACAAAATCATACATTAAAACAGAGATATACAAATCCCAGGAGCTCCGTGTGCTCCTTACAAATGACAGCTGCCTCTTAATTTTTATATTTTTCTCTAGTCTAGTCTTGGAGCTCAAAAGTATCGGTACATGTAGTCGTACTTGTACAGAGTACTGTACTTGGTATCTGTGCAACCCTAATTAATATGAAGTCAATACAGAGATTACGTTATGATATGGTATAGTATGGAGTAGGGCATTAGTAGTTGAACCTATTTTTAATAGTACCTCTCAAGCAACCAAAAACAACATTTTTCCGGAATCTACCAATCCCCATGGATGCTGGATAATGGGGAGTTTACTGTATATGGGAAAGCAGACTGGAGGAAGCTTTGCAGGTCAGAACTTTGAGTAGCAGTGAAGGAGCTGATGGTGAGAAGAAGCATTAAAAGATTAAGT